GGTTATGAAAAAATTGATGTAAATATCATGTTTTTATTAAAAAATTATTCTCCAAGTAAGATTCTTTGACATTTTTTTCATTGTTCCAGAAATGCTCGACATACAGTTATCATCATTTTAATAATGATATTTTAATTATAAGTTAATTATTTATTCATGAATTGAAGTCTATTTAAATTTTCATAGCTTATGTTGAAATATTGCTTGATAATTTCCTATCAATTAAGTTATTTCTTTTATTTTTACTATCATTACTCTTATTATTATGACTATTATTGTTATTATATTATTATCATGATTATTATTATTCATCTTATTATTATTATTTTTATTATTATTATTACGTGTTATCTGTTTGTTGCAGAACCAAAGATGATTCTAGTGTATGTGCTTCAAAAGTTTTTCTCACTACAGATTTAATTGGACAACAATATCTTTGTTACCTTGTAGAAAATCGGCATCGATTACATTTAATTCGAATGCAAAAGTCAAACGATCCAGAGAAACTCATTTTAGGACTTATTTCTCAAATAACAGCTAAGGATGTTGTGAATTTTCCGGTAAGATACAATTGGTGTTTCTCATATTGCATTAAACTTATTATAAACCAAGAAAGCACCGCCTCCCTGCTTGCTATGCTCGCTAACCTCTCTGTGTACACAATTGTCGGTTATTTCATATTGGAACCTTAATAATGCTTTTTTAAGGTCTTATAAAGTCCGTTTAAAATCTTGAAAAATCTTTTACGTGCCTTTATAATGTAAATAGTTATGAATTTCGTGTAATGTTATTATTAACTATGTATGAGGACTTTGTAAGCACTTCAATACATTTACATGAGGTTATCACTGATAAATATTCTAAACTAATCATCGTTAAAGTAAAATTTGAATAAGTAAATAAGTAAGATTTATAGTTATTTTAGGATTACTTTTTTTAGAAAAAACATATATTCTGATATCTTTTTTTATTTTTCAGTATCTTTTTCACATCACCCTGCGTAAACATATTAATGCATTTGTTATTCATATCCAACTAACTTTTAGCAAATAACATCAAATCATCTTGATCAGCAATTTGTTATTCACGTCTGACAGATTTTTCTTTAATAATTTATATTACCAAAAAAGTCACAATCTTTGTTCGTAGTTTTTTTTCAGGACATTTTCCTCTACTTCTCTGATTTACTACTTTGAATTGTTTAAGCTTTTCTTCAAAACTAAAAATTGCGAACGCCAACCATCCATAGCCAACCATACGAAATTTAAAGTTAAATTTTTATACAAATTATGCAATAAACAACTACTAAATTCTTTATATACTATAACCAAACCTTATAATTACATTGATTTATATTATACGTTGCCAATCCTCGTACATAGCAGTAGTAGTGGCGGCGTATAGTGGTTGTGATCGTCTGAAAAATAAATAAAAGTCTACCTCCACATCCTAATTTCATTGAATTGTTGTTATTTATACAGTAGTTATTTTATGGTGATGCTCCTATAAGAATCCAAATCTCTGTAACGGTTTAAATGAGTAGTTAAATTACCCTTCTGCTCATCATCTCTTTAAAATTGCAAAATCGATAAATACTTGATTTCCATTAGTAAGGAGCATAATTAAACACTCGCATTATTATAATAGCTAAAAATTTTTATAGTAACAATTGGAAAATGGTTGTTAGTTTTTTTGTAGAATATGGGTATTTCTTAAATAAATAATCAGATCTTGCGTAACTTGCTTTCTTTGATTTATTTAATACTTGAATAAGAGTATTTTGTTAAGAAAGAAACAATAATCAAAGGCGCTTGCAACACAAAATATAAGGTTACATGATTCAAGTGTTGCACACTTTACGATCAAATTTATTAGTATAATTAGGCTAAATAGAAGAATGTACCGTTGTGTGAATTTATCACCTGGCAATAACCTTTTAACTCAACATAACTTTCTCGCAGACAAAAAGATTAATTAACTTATTAGAGATTAATTTAGGCAAATGTTTCTTTCTTAAAACAATACCATGCCTCTTTTTGTAATACATACATACATGCATGCATGCATAGAGAAGAGTAAAAGTTTTAGTTCATAAATTAGTTAACTGCCTAACGAACATGATCGCGGTGAAATTTGAATATAAGAAAATAATTAACCATAACACTTTTCCTTAATTATTTTATCTCTGACAGTTTCAAATATCTTCCTTGCTTAAGGCTTAGTTAATAGATCAGCCAATTGATCTTCGCTCTTCACGTGTTTTATCCTTATGATATTTCCTATGTGTTGTTGAATAAACTTTCTAGATATTTCTATATGCTTTCTTCCTTTAGTAATCTTTCCTTTAGAAGCATTATTTAACATATAAATAGCTGACTGGCTGTCAGTGTGGAGGGTTGTGACCTGCCTTGGATCTATATGATTTAACTTAATGGCAAGTCTACGTATCCAAGCTATTTTATTTAACGTTGATACTACTGCTCTATATTCTGCTTCTGCTGAAGAAGTAGCTACCAACTTTTGTCTTTGTGTAAACCAGATTAATAGACCACCACGCATTAGAGGAACATAACTAATTGACTTTTTTGTATTTAAATCTCCTCCAGAATTAGAATCGCTTAATGCAATCAATTTTTTTTCACCATTAAAAGAAATTCCAACATCTACAGTGCCCTTCAGATACTGAAAAATTCGTTTTACCATTTTCCAGTGACTCATCATGTAAAATTCATAATCTAAATAGAAATAGTTTAACTATCTTTATTTAATTTAATTGGACAACAATATCTTTGTTACCTTGTAGAAAATCGGCATCGATTACATTTAATTCGAATGCAAAAGTCAAACGATCCAGAGAAACTCNAAAGGATGAAACGTAAATATTAACTTACAAAATAGACGATGTTAATTGATTCTATACGTTCATGAAAGTTTGTGGAGACTGCTGTATTTTCATGGCAAATAATTGATACAACCTTACAAGTTTATAAGGTCGTTTGTGTGCTGCCTACGGAGGACTTGAGGACATGTTGTATAGTAGGGCAACGTTGGCAATACTATTTAAGTATTGCGCTTTGAACTGCTACAGGTTAAAAAAATTTTTTGTTATATTATATATTAAGAAAAAGTAACCTTTAATTTAAAATTTGAATGATAAAGTAAATACTTTATGTGAAAAAGTTTAGAGCCGTTAAAAATAGTAGTTACTTGCACTTTATTTTTTTTTTACTTTTAGATTTCATGCATAAAAGGTGTGTTGCAAAAGTGCCTGCAAGCTTGTTTAGTTGAATTGCTATCATTTGTAAAACTTTTTATTTTTCACATTAGTTACATAAGTTTTTATAAGGAGGTTATGAAAAAATTGATGTAAATATCATGTTTTTATTAAAAAATTATTCTCCAAGTAAGATTCTTTGACATTTTTTTCATTGTTCCAGAAATGCTCGACATACAGTTATCATCATTTTAATAATGATATTTTAATTATAAGTTAATTATTTATTCATGAATTGAAGTCTATTTAAATTTTCATAGCTTATGTTGAAATATTGCTTGATAATTTCCTATCAATTAAGTTATTTCTTTTATTTTTACTATCATTACTCTTATTATTATGACTATTATTGTTATTATATTATTATCATGATTATTATTATTCATCTTATTATTATTATTTTTATT